TCCAGAGCTGCTTTCCGGGAGCCGCGCTCCGGCCGCCTCGCGTGGGTCGCGGGACTCGCTATGCAACTGGTCACACTGGGTGCAGGTCCGTGCCTGTTTGTAACGCGGGGACGCGGCGAGAGAAGCAGGGACGTCCTTGAGCACAACAGGGAGCACACGGAGCTGCGGGGGGAAGGCTGGGGTGAGTTTCACTCTGGCTGCCCTGCCCGTGCAGGCTGCTCGGGGACCCGCAGCCCTTGGGTGCACCAGGGCAGCCCCAGGGCCTCTCCGGCCTCCTCTGCCACTCCTGCAGCATAAAGACTGCCCCGGCACATCCTTGGCCTCTCCTCACCTGTCAGGATTCCTTTCCCAGCTCGGGGCAAATAAGTGGGGGGTTTTTTGTGCACTCCATGGGTTCTTCTGGGCTGGGTAATGATTAAACACGTCGTTGAAATGCAGAGATGTATTTGAAATATTTGCTCCCCTCAGGTAGCTGCTGCGTGTGGCGGGAGCTGTGGAGCAGGCTGAGAGCTGGGGTCTGTGTCTCCAGGGTTGGAGGATGTGGTTTATCAGAGGCTCAGATTTATTGGAGGCAAAGGGGGTGGCCTGGCAGTGCTGCTCAGCTGTGAAAGTGGGAAATGTCTCATTTCACCCTTTGGTTTTCTTTATTTTCAGTGTGAAGTGCTGTATATAATTTACCCATACCTGGCTGAACTTCTCAGTAAGACAGGAGCTCTCTGTGTTCCCAGCTGTGCTCATCACCTTTCCTCTGGCTTCTGGAGCCTTCGCTGCATCAGTTGCTTAATCTGCTGCAGTGGCTTTTGGTTCCTGTTGCTAAAAATGGGCTGTGGGTCCTGCTGGGCATTGGGCTGGTGTGGGTCACGGGGGTTTCCTTAGAGCTGCAGTCACTGTCCAGCTGCCAACACCCGTTTGCTGCAGGACATCAGGAGATGCAGGGCTCACATCCTGGCTGTGGATCCATGATGCAAAATGGATAGAAAATCTTTTCAACAGGTGCAGGCTCTTTCAGGAGAAATTTCGCCATGTTTTTGGTTTCCACAAAAGAAATAGGATGGTGTAACTGGCAGGAAGGAATTTTACATGAAAAGTGACATTACGGGTTTATTGTCCACAGTTGTACGTGGAAATTTGTGCATGGCTAGAATGGTGCAGAGCCAGGTTTTCACAGGAGTCTTCAAAAGGCACGTTGAGGTGTGTGGGCACAGCTTGTGCAGGGCAGGGGGCAGGCCAGGGCTCTGACATGGTTATTGGTAGGACAGGGCTGGGTAACTGCTGTGGGACACGTGGTCCCTCAGGATGGTGGGGCTCAGTGGGCTCAGCAGCAGGGGCTGGGGACAGGCAGGTGACCTGCAGTGCTTTAATCTCAGATCAGAGCAGGCTGATAACCCTGCTGCTGCGAGGGCCAGGACCCCCTTGGCCTGCCCCCACACTGGGGGGCTGGGTAGCAGAATGAAGGTCAAAGCCAAGTATTTATTCAGGAATTACAAATTACGGATTATTTACTCCTCTGGTGTGGATAGTTTTGGTTTTTTTCAGTAAACTCCATCTTATTGTTTATCATCTTTCTTTTGGGACAATCAGAAGGACAAGTCACTTATTTTGGGACCAAATGTCTCATCTGTGAGATGCAGATAGATCCTATCAACCCAAAGTGCTCTAGGGCCAGGGCAGATGTTGGCAGCTCAGTAGGACGTGTCTGGTTGGCCATTTTCATCACCTTGGGACAGGGAACAAACAACCCCTGAGGTCAAGGTTGCTGCATAGGGAGGAGCCAGCTCATGTCTGAAATAGGTGTTTCTCACCCCAAACCCTTTCTGTGTTGACCATTTGTGTTCCCTTTTCAGCACTGCTTTTTCTGGGTAAAATGAGCAAAACATCCTCAGCAGCACTTGGCAGGAAGTGGCAAAGTCTCTGGGGAGCCAGCAGGTAATTGCTCTTTCCCAGGAGAAATAATTTAGGGCAGATTCTGGCTGCCTGGGAAGCACCACTGAAATCCAGCAAGGCATCTCCTGGAGGTAACTGCTTTCTGCCTCCCTCTATTTCTAAACCTTCATCACTGAGAAAAGGGACAGGAGACAGACCTCCAGGATCGCTGTGCTGAGTAGAGACAACCCTGAGTACAACAGAACTAAGTACTGTGAGTATAACAGAACTCAGTGCTCCTTTTTGACCTTAAATCATGCACGGCAGGAACTTCCCTGGTGCCCAGTGGGGACCAGGTTTTATTGATGCATGTTTGTGCCCAGAGCCTGGAGAATACATGGCAAGGAAAGAGT